TTAGAAGRCGATTGTCTGAGAGCCATAGTTCTCCTTTTGTATTTAAAATCCCTGAGCAATCATGGGAGGTATAGAAAGGTCTCTTCCCAGGTGATTTTAATTGCCTCGGGGAATAGTAAGGCTGCTGCTGCTACTACTCTCAAACAGTGAGGCCATCCTCGAGACACTAGATCAAGCTCTTTGCTGAGATAAGCTACTGGCTGTTGAGTAGGTCCCTTCTTTTTTGTGACCACTCCCAGGGCTATTCCTCTTATCTCGGTGGCAAGTAGGTTGAATTTTTGTTCAGTGGGTAAGCTGAGGGCAGGGACTTGGAGTAGGGCTTTTAATGCCTTAAAGGCATTAATCTGTTCTGGTTCCCATATCAGGGAAGTTGTTCCTTGGCGTAGTGTCTCTCTGAGGAGGCTGTAAAAGAGGCTTAGCTAATTCCCCATATCCAGGGATCCAAGGCCTACAGTATCCAGTTATCCCTAGGAGGCCTCTAAGTTGCCTTATAGTTTGTAGTAGATGATATTGTCCTATAGGGGTTATTCTTTCTGGTTCTAGTTTGCAGGGTCCTCGAGACAGCCGTAATCCTAAATATTGAACTTGTTTTTGGCACAATTGCACTTTTTTCTTTGAGACTTTATAACCCCTATCAGCTACGAAGGTTAAAAGTCCTTTAGTGGCTTCCTGACATTTCTTTTGAGTGGAGGCACACAAAAGTGTGTCGTCTACATATCGCAGGACAGTCAGAGATGTTTTATCTCTGAATTCTGTCAAGTCCTTAGCTAGGGCTTGGCCAAACAGATGAGGGCTATCTCTGAATCCTTGGGGCAATACTGTCCAGGTTAATTGAGATCTGCTATCTGGTTCCTCAAAGACAAACAGATATTGTGACTTTTTTGGGAGTCTAAGGGTATATCAGAAAAAGGCATCCTTTAAATCTAACACAGTAAACCCAGCAGCAGCGACTGGAATCTCAGATAACAGAGTATATGGATTAGGAACCATAGGGTGGAGAGGAACAACTGCTTCATTAATTATTCTCAGGTCCTGAACTAGTGGCCATTCCCCATTGGGTTTTTTTATTCCTAAAATGGGTGTGTTACATGTGTTGCAGGGCACTAAAAGTTTCTGTCTTTTGAGGTTCTGAATGATCTTCAATAAGCCCTTTTTTTTTGCCTCTGGGCATAGGGGATATTGTCTCTGAGGTGGAAAGACAGAAGGATATTTTAAGACTATTTTGACTGGAACTGCACTTTTTGCCCATCCAATTTTTGCCTTCAGTAGCCCACACTTCAGGGTTTATATTACATTCTAATAAAGGCAAACATAATGGTCCTCGCGGTCCCAAATTCATTGTAATGGATGTCTGAAGTTTTGAAAGTAAGTCTCTTCCCAATAAAGGGGTAGGACATTCTGGGACAATCAGAAATGCATGAGAAAACATCACCCCGTCCCACTCACAACTCAGTGGGGGCGTAAACTCTCTGGTGACCGGCCGTCCAGACACTCCTTGCACTGTTGTAATATTAGAGGAAAGAGGTCCGGGGTAAGAGGTGAGCACAGAATAACTGGCACCAGTGTCTAAGGGGRAGTTGACCTCTTGGCTCCCTAGGGAGAAGCATACCCAGGGCTCACGTGTGGTGATAGGAGTTACGGGAGCCAGAGTTGAGCCTGGCCCCGTCAGGCCTGTGTGGAGGAGTCTGGCTTCAAGGACCCACGCCCCTGAGGACAGTCACTCTTCCAGTGATTGCCTTGACATTTAGGGCAGGGCCTTTGGGGTGTCTCTTGGCTATTGGGCAATCCCGTTTGAAATGTCCTTCCTCTCCGCCATGGAAACAAGTCCCTTTTGTGGATTGAGGAGCACTTCGTCTTCCTCCTTTTTCACCCTGGGAGCTTACTCCTCTAAGAGCCAATACCAGCGCTTCAGTCCTTTTTCTGTCTCTGAGCTCTTTTTCCTTCCTTTCCTCTTGATCTATTATAAAAAACGGAAGTAGCAAGTCGGGGGATGTTATCTAAAGATTGATCAGGGCCATATGCCAATTTTTGTAACTTCCTCTGAATGTCTGGGGCTGATTGAGTAATACATTTGTCCTTTAAAAGTAGGTGGCCCTCTGTGGATTCCACGGTGGTGTGTTTTCTCATTGCCTCCCTGAGTTTCTCTATGAAAATAGCAGGGCTTTCCTGGGGGCCCTGAATAATTTCTGAAACCTTAGAATAGTTAATGGGATTTTGCTTGATTCTCCTGAGGGCCTCAAGGACCAACATTTGGAAACGTCTAATTTTCCAAGCATCCTGTCCATCATTTGGGTCCCAGTCAGAATCGTTTCTGGGAACTGCCGTGCTCCAGATGGATAATTGGGTTTGCTCCCAGTCTGGGCTGCTGGGGCCTGAGAAAGGTGTAGGTCATCCTCAAACTCTTCAGCGCTCTTAGGGCTGCTTCCTCCTCATTGGAGAAGTCTGGTTGAGTAACAGCACCATATCTTTCCAGGTGAGGTCAAATACCTGGCCTAAGTTTTGAAATACCTTAATATATTTATCTGAATCTTCTGAAAATGTCCCTCAGTCTGTTTATATCTGCTTAGGTCTTGAAGGGAGAAGGGGGTATGCACTTTGATTGGTCCAAATTCTCCTCCTGGCAGCTCCTGGAGGGGTAATATATATGATCTGTCTATTGGAGCAGATGCAGAGAGGCCAGGACATGGGGGACAGGAGGGCCGCTGCTGCACATCAACAGGGAATGGAGACTTTGTGCATCCTCCTGATTCTTTCTCCACAGTAGGTGATTCCTTAAGATTTTCTCTCTTCATGGCAGATATCATAGCTAAGTCTATTTTACATTGTTGGCATAATTTGGGGTTTTCCCTTAGGGCAAAGAAAACCTGGACGTATGGCACCTCACACCATTTCCCTTCCCTTTTGCAAAGTTTATCAAGCTGTAAAATTGTATTAAAATTGATACTTCCCTCTGGTGGCCAGGATTCTCCATCAGGGAGTTTGTATTGAGGCCAGGCCTGGCGGCAGAAGAAAATGAGGTGCTTTTTCTTGAGCGTCTGTGGGTCAAATCCCAATTTTTCAATATGCAGGTTAGTGGTACACCTGGCATATTGGAGAGAGAAGCTCCCATTTGAGTGAGAAGAAAACAGGACTCAGGTGCCGGCGCCAGAGAAAAATGTTCTTATTAGGGACGTTTCCCTAAGCTTGAGCTTCCTTACAGTCCAGAAAACCCGTCTCTCACCTTGCTTTGTCAAGGGTGTTTCTGGTCCCCTTTGGCAAAGTGCTAGGGTCCCAGTTTTCCCTGTGCCACAGACCCCGGGAGGATTCAGACTTAAGGGCATTACTGCTTTCCTCCCTGCCACTAAAAACCCACAGCAAAAGAGAATCGCCCACTCTTGTTTGCCTTTTTGCCCTGTGGACTAAAGGAATCTCCTGAGGGTGAGGGGTATCTACCGGTTGTAAGGCATAGAGCATTTTCTATCAGAGGGACTCTTGGAAGGGTTGATTTTAAAATGCCTCCCTCTGGCAGCTTAAAGAGAACACAGCACATTTTTAAGCATTGAAATGGGAAATTTTAAAACAGCTAGTGAAAGTTACCTATGCGCATGAGGGGAACCTGGGCACCATTTTACCGATTATCCCGTGTCTTTCTCAGTCATATAACCTGAATTGCTAGTGTTTTTGACCAGCAAAGGAAGGGGAGCATCCAGGAGGGAATGGATGCRGGGTTGGGAGTGTTGTGTGGCCCACATGGAGGCAAATGTAATTGGGGATTTCCCTCAGTGCCATTCATCTACCGATCACCCTAGATACCCCTTAGGGCTGTCGGGAGGGGGTTCAAGAGAAAGGAACTTTAGGAACACGTCTGAGTGTAGCCCAGACCTGAATTCCGCAGTTGTCCCAAACTCTTTCCTCCACCTCCATGCATCTAAGGATTAGGGACACTGTGTACTCACACCAGTTGCTTTCCAGGCCCAGACAGAAAAGTGGGAAGTGGCTTTGGCAGAGCCCAACATGCCTGCTCTGTATTGAACAGGTGATTGACAGCTGCCTAGGCCGAGAAACCTCTCACCCAAGTCTTGAAGAGTGGTGGCTGCACTAATTGTGCCCACATCATCCTCCAGAAAGAAATAGAGAAAGATGCACCTCAGACAGATGTGGGGTGCATGGAGAGGAGCTTACCTCGGCGTAGATCTCAGTGGGACCTCCAGTCTGTTACTGCTGTTTATCGGTGACAGTCCTTGCTTCCCCAAATGCTGAAGTATAACATCTGAGAAGCATGCCGAGGCAAGGGTAGAGTGCAAAGTGGAAGGATTTGTTAAAGGACAGCAGAAAAGACTTCCTCCCGGAGGAAGAAGGGGACCTGAAAGGTAGAATCCGTGGAAGGGGGTCTTCCCTTTTTTCTAGCTAAGGTCCTCTTTTAGTCCTCCCACACCCCTGTCCTTTATTTCCCTCTGTCCTGAAGTGATAGAATGCAGGTGGGAAGGCCAAAAAGGTGGGAGATAGGTGGACTGGTGGGCCAGGGAGGAGAGAGCTGGGCAGGAAGGGCCTGGGGTGGTTTGATTAGCACCTCCCTGTTTGCTGGGGAGCTACTTCATTAACAGTTCTTTAGGATGGGTTCTGGGCCCTTGGGGACATTAACATTTCAATTTCCCCAGGTGCTATTGTGGTTTCCTGAACTCCATTCTTGATAATGGTCTCCATTTTTCTTTATCTTACTCGATTTACCTAACTACACAAACTACCCATCTTTAAATCTGGCTTCCAAGTGCAAGGGGTCTGGGTGCAGTGGGTTGAGAGAGGCCGGCTGGCACTGGGGCCATAGGGGACTGGGTGGGCATACATTTTACTGCAGATGTGATGGGGATATTGAAGGGGCCCAGCAGGGCCCAGACTCCTCTTTCCTGAGCCTTTTCTCACCACCTGCAGAGAGCAGGTGTGGCAGCCAGCCTGCAGGGGGCATGTGAGATGGCCCATGCAGAACACCTTTTCTACCCACCTTTTCCTCTTCTCTCCAACAGGGTGCAGTTTTTGAGAAATTGAGGATCTGTTCTTTACCCCAATTTGTCMGTTTTGTGCACGATCTGCAGCCACTGAAGAAGGATCCGGAGGTCAYGGTCAAAGACCTCCGCTTTGGAACGATCCCTGTGAAACTGTACCAGCCCAAGGCGCCCTCCTGCACCCCAAGGCCTGGTGTTGTCTTCTATCATGGCGGTGGAGTTGTCCTGGGGAGCTTGAGTAAGAGATCTTCCCCAGAGCTCCCAAAGGATTGGCAACCTGCTAAGGRAGCGCCAAAGAAGGGTCATCTTCTGAGATTACAGTCCACTGTTGTGACCAGGGACACACTAGGACAGTTCATGGATCCCAGACCATTTAGGAAGTAAAGGAGTGGAATGCATTGACCTTTCCTGGAAATAAGTGTGCACACATGCATTCACAGATTTAACCACATGTTGAAAATATTTTTAAAATTGTGTGTATATTTATGTGTATATATATATATATATATACACACACACACACACATATGTATACACACAGCCAATGTATATACACACCATTTTCCTTAGGTATCCATGGGGGTTGTTTCTAGGAATCATCACTGATCCCAAGATCTACAGATACTCATGTAAACTACTCATATCCTACTTTAAATTATCTCTATGTTACTTTTAAAACCTAATACGATGTCAGTGCTAGGTGAATACATGTCATACTATTATTTAGGAAATAACAACAAGAAAAAAGCTTGTATATGTTCAGTATGGGTGCATTTAAAAAATATAAATGTTTTAAATATATTTATTTATATACATGTATATTCATATTTATTTATTGGTCTATCTATAGGTGGTACTAGGCATTGAATCYGGGGATGTTTTATCCCTACCACTGAGTTCCATCTTCAGCCCTTTGTATTTTGTTTTGAGACAGGGTCTAACTAAGTTGCCCCAGGCTGGCCTCAAATTTGTAATCCTCCTGCCTCAGCCTCCTGAGTTGCTGGGATGACAAGTGTGCACTACTGTGCCTGGCTCGGACACATTTTTTTACTAAGTCTTTTCGATCCAGTGTTGGTTGGCTCTGTGGAGGCATAACATCCGATATGGAAGGCCCACTGTATATACTTATCAAAGCGAAAGCATTTTTTGAGATGAAATTCATACCACAGAAAATGAACCATTCTGAAGTAGCTGTCTGTGTTATGWAACTCGTGCTATGCAACTGCCACCTACATTTAGTTGGAAAGAAGAATATTTTGAATGAAAACAAGTAAAACACATCATTTTGTTTCCCATGAGGTATTGTCTGACACAAATTCTGGTATGGAAACAGGAAGATCAAAGATTTAAGGAAAACTAATAAGAGGAAAGACTCCAAGTGGAGACAGTTTTATTATCTTAATTCCTGCCCTGTAAATCAGAGAAAGGATGCCTTTATTTGATTTCAGCTGGGCTTCATAATCTGTAGGATGCTGGACCTCTCATGGTGGCCTTTGAGAATAAGAGGTTTAGTCAATGGGGGCTTAGGTTTGGTTTGTATTATGAATGATAACAACAATATTTATTAATAAGAACATTTATGTCATGGGTACTGTGGAAACCCTGCATGTGCAATATCTCACTGAAGTCCTTGGACTTTTTTGGAAGCTAGATAGTATCATTGTTCCCATTTTACAGATGGGGAAATCAAGCCTCAGAGAACTCAAGCAACTCTCTGGGTAGTATTTTAGCTCAAGCTAAAAAGGAAAAAGGAGTCCAAATTGGGTTTTGAACTCTGGTTTGGGGGAATCCCTAGATCACACCCTAAACTTCTGTGCCCTATGACCAAAACAGCTTCTCAGACGTTTTTCAGGAATGGTTGGAGGGACCAGGTCTGGCCATTCTGGAGATAGTYGTCCAGAGGAGGAGGAGGAGCAGTGAGGAAGTTGGGAGGAAGGCTACTCCAGAACTGGAAGCAAATTTGCAAAACATAGAGCCCACCCCGTGGTGCTCTGTCAGCAAGCAGCAGACAGCTAGCAAAGCGCATCTTCCTAGTGAATGTGACAAACCTTTTGTCTTCCAGAGACCCACCATGGTGTGTGCTTGCATTTGTCCAAGGACAGTGGCTCAGTGGTTGTGGCAGTTGGGTGAGTGAAGGGGAGGATGGGGGGTGGTGAGAGCAGCCGGCTCTGATTTGGAGCCATGGCGGGGCAGGTGGAATGGGGGGCAGATGGAGGGGCGGAGGTCAGGACCGCCTTCCCATGCCTGCAGCCCTCCTCGGTGTGGAGACGGGGTCCAGCTGCAGCCCATCTTCTGGAAGCTGGTGGGAAGTGGCCTTTTCAGTGCAGATCAGGGGTGGGGCTTCCCCAGGGGCACACTTTGGTGGAGGAGCTCTTCTTTTGGAACATTCCAAACAGGTAAGACCTCCTCTGCTAAACACCAGCAGCGGTGCCCGCGTCGTCTCCCAGACAACCCCAACACTGCCACATCCATTCCCAAGTGCTCCCTGGGAGAGGACCCCCAAGGAAGGGAGAGGAAATTAACAAATAAGCAAACAAACAAAACCCACTCCCTCTCCTAGCTCACACAACCTGGAATCTCTAAGGGGGTGGCAGACACTGGGCAGGGGAGACATGGGCCAGCCCCTCCCTGGGCCTCCCGTCCTGCCGTCCAGTCATCTCCCCAGGCTTTTCCTGTGGCTTTCACTTAAATGCACACGTAGTGAAGAAATATGACTGCCAAGGTGTCTCATGGGACACATGTCCTAGCTCTCTTGTGGCAAAGGTAGTGGAGGAGAATAAAAAATGAGAGAGAGGGACAGACAGAGACACCAGGACAAACGCCTCACCCTATAGCCCTCAGCTCCAAGTGATAGCTCGGCTGAGGGCCCTCTACGCCTTACTGTTCTGGTTGTGCCAAACCAAGACATAATCAGGAGAATATTCCAGCAACTCTCCACCCGAACATTAGGTTCTGTCCCAGCCCCAATTCCAGGCAGCCTGGAATGAGGATATGGGAGTGGAAATGGCTGGCAGAGTGTTTGTTGCTAAAAAAAAATTGTGACCAGCATTTAAAAAATGGTGACATTTCTGACAAGAATCCAGATTTCCAGAATCTCTTGAACAACGGGGAAGTCCAAGAGTGCCAGGTGGATGGCCCTGTGTGACAGCCTCGGTCTAAAGTGGACATAGCGGATTTGAACTCCTCCTGTGATCTGCTGGCCAGTGGTGGGATTGAAGTTTACCTGGTCTCCCCACAAAACCTGTGGGAGGGGAAGGAGGAATTACAATGAAAACCCAAGTGAGCCAGGAGACGCCTGAATTATAAGATAGGAGGCAGCGGCAGCTGTGGGCCAGGGGAGCAGTACCAGGCAGGAGTGGAAGTATGGGCTAGTGCTGGGCTACCCAGTGGTTGTCCAGTGGGTGGATGGCAGGGCTCGTGTGGAGGCGCTGGTCCCTGAGGGCAGTGAGCCCTTGGGAATGGCAGCTGCTGGCTCCTGAGCTTGTGAGCTTGATACCAAGTGCTTCCTTTCTACCATATTGTTTAAGCCTCACACTTACCTCCAGCTGCCAAGCTTTCAGAAAGGGACATTAACAGGAGAAATTTGGGCTAAAAGGTGCTATAGACACTGCTACTTGGGCTTTCCTGGGATGATGAGCATAAACTGTGTTCCTTGATTTCTTTTCAGGTACCGCAAGTCACCCAAGTATAAGTTTCCGGTGATGGTCAGAGACTGCATTGTGGCCACCATCCACTTCCTGCAGTCCCTGGATGCCTATGGGGTGGACCCCGCTCGGGTTGTGGTSTGTGGTGACAGTGTGGGAGGGGGCGTGGCCACCATCATTTGTCAAACCTTGGCCAGCTGTCCGGGTCTCCCCCGGATCCGCGCTCAAATCATGATCTACGCGGCTCTCCAAGGCCTGGATTTCCAGTCTCCTTCCTATCAGCAGAACAAGAATGTCCCTCTGCTCCCCTGGACATTTGCCTTCTACTGTTTGTGCTGTTACCTGGATATCAACCCTTCCTGGCAAAGCACCATAAAGAAAGGTGCCCATTTGCCTCCAGAAGTCTGGGAGAAGTATAAAAAGTGGTTGGACTCAGAAAACATCCCAGAGAGGTTTAAGAAGAGAGGCTACCACCCCGTGGCCCCTGCGCCCTTGGACGAAGCTGCTTTCTTGGAGACAAACGTCCTTCTGCATCCGTTGTGCTCACCCCTGATCGCAGGAGATGACGTGGTGTCTCAGCTCCCAGAGGCTTGCATCGTGAGCTGCGAGTATGATCTTCTCCGGGACCACTCGCTCCTGTACAAGAAGAGGCTGGAAGACCTGGGGGTGCAGGTGACCTGGCACCACATGGAGGATGGTTTTCATGGCGTGCTCAACACCCTTGACCTTGGCTGTTTGCACTTCCCATGCTCTGCAAGAATTCTCAATGTGATAACCCACTTCATCAAGGGACTGTGACCCTGCTTCCTTCCTGCTGGAGTGTCCCCCCACAGGGCTCTGTGGCTACCTTAGGTGATATTGGGTAGGGATAAGTGATTGTCTCCTTCCTGCTCTGGATTCTACAATCAAATAGTGCAAGGCAGAGGTAGGTTTGGGGCTCTGTGTTCACGTTCACTACTGGGAAAGTTGGAGATGACCATCTTTAGTGGCCATTTGCAAGAGTGAATCTGCAAACCAAGGATTCTCATGTCCTCCTTGGCTAGAGTTCAGTCTGTCTAGGCCAATCTGGACTATGTGACARAGGGGCCTGGTTGGCCATACCCAGGGAAGGCCCAAGGGCACCATCTGAAGTCTCACTGGGCTTTTCCAGTGGAGCTCTGAGTTCTGGGGGCACAAGGTCCCTTTTCTTGCTGTTGCCCAGATTCCGGGCTCAGAGCAGCCTTTACGTTCTTGACTGCAGCTCCCTAAGTCTGAGTTGCTTTAGAATCAGTTACTCTAGGCCCTTCTTTGAATGTACTGCAGAGGTACACAGCTGACTCTGCTCAGGAGAGAGGGTACCCACTGACCTCTAAGCCCAGAGTCAAGACCCCAGGACTTCCCTAGAAAGATCTGCCAGTTAGCTCAGGGCTAGTGCAATATGATAAAGGACGGTGGCTTTGCATCTCAAATTGCTTTCTTGGATCAACAGACAATTGAGGACAATTGTCTAGGTTAAAGTTGAAATATTAGCAAAACCTATCTAACTATTCTCCAGCCCCGCTTCCTGTCAGTGTCTGCCTCAGAAACACTTCACCCCCATGAAGAATCTCCCTGCCCTTCTAAGCCTAATCCACATTTCCCTACATTTTTTTTCCCCAGAGGGACCACTTGCTCCCTTGTCTTATCCCTGAGCTAGCACAGGCTAGTAGAGGTCAAGCTGCGCTGCAATGACAAATGGCCCCACCGTCCCAGTGGTTAACGACAGCAAAGGTCTATTTTCTGGGACCAGGCCAATGGAGCAGGCTGTATCTGAAATATCTCCAGGCTTGTGGCAGAGGGAAATATAACATGGCAAACCACACACTGTCTCTCTCAATGTCTCAGAAGAAGCTCGTCACTTCTGTTCACCGTTCATGGCTGGAGAGTTCTGTTTGCCTTTCACTAATTGGAGCAGTCACACTCTTAAGCCTCACATTGATGGGACTGAGAAGCATAGTCTTCTTCTGAGAGGGGCAGTGACTATTTTTGGATAATTTTATAGTTCACTACACTCTCAATCATATTTCCACTTCCATTCTGTCTTTTTAAGAATTAAATTGCATCAATGGTACCCAAATAGAAAACCAGAAAACATTAGCAGTAAGGCTAAAGTCACTTTGGACTACCCTCCTCTCAAATCCATTCCCTTTTATCAAGATKTATCCACTATTACCTTTTTTTTAGTTTGTTTTTAGAGTGTGATGTTCTACTCCTTTCAAGCCTGTTTCTTTGCATTTACATACACAGATATATACCCACAGAAAACATAGAGTATTATTTGGGGGATGACTTTGCCAAATATTATATTATTCTTCACATGTCTGTGGACAGCAGGCTGTGCCCTGCTCTGAGCTGCTCCATGATGTAGGGGCTTTCAGGCTGTGCCTAAGCAGTAGCCTGCCATGACTTACTCCATTCTGAATTCAAGCGCTAAAGCGGAATGACTCTATATCTTATTTACACAAGTAAACAACCACCATCTGCCTAGCCCCGTCGTGAGGCACAAACTGATAAATAAAATTATCGTGCTAATAAAAATGACCATCAGGGGATTACTGAATTGATCTGAAGCATGTGGATCCATGGGGGCATTAAACTCATTTTGGGAAACCCAGGCCCATGAGCAGACGGAACACAGCAGATCACCGAATGAAGCAGCCCCTCACCTGAGGCCCACAAAAGCAGAAGCACCCTGAGACTGGATGCGGTGGCACACTGACCCTGTCACCTGGTTACTTGACATGGGCTTTGCCCAGGAAAATGGGCACAGTGATGAGCCTCTGGTTTCCTATGCCATCAGGCTTCAGCTGAGTGCGGTTTCTCCTGCCTGTGACAACCATGCGTGGCCCACTCCAAGCTGACTCTCTGAAATTGCCACCCTTCTGGACCTTGGCCTAGAATAAGTTCCTGCGCTTTGACAGCTCTGCACTCTGAACAAAGTCTTTGGGCTATTTCCTCATCTTCTCTGGCCACCTTCTGTGACTTCTGCCATCATAGCTTCTCCCTGCCTTTGTTCTCAGCTTGGGCCCCTGAGCCCAGTGGCTACCTTAACCCTTAGCCTTTCTGTAATACATGTGTGTGTGTGTGTGTGTGTGTGTGTGTGTGTTTTGTGTGATGTGTGACTTGAGTGCTACCGATATTAGTAGTGAAGATTGGAATAAAAGAATCTGGCTTATGACTATCAGGTGACCCACAAGTAATCCATGAACTGCCACCAGTGAAAGTGGTGTAGCCTGTGAACATGTTGTTATTCAGTAAACTGTGACATGGTGGAGAGAAGCAAATGTGTCACAGTGTGCGCATGACAATGTTGGGCATCTTGAGTTTTTTCACTCAGTAATATACCAGAGGAATCTAGCCTATAAAGTAGGTTTATTGTATTCTTTGTAGCTGCAGCATGGTATTAGAACAGGGATTTAGAGCCTGCTTTTCTCAAAAGCACTGAGTCTTCACTTGGCCTTGTAGGCACCCAGTGGGTCACTGAGAGCAGGAGAAGAGTGTGGCATCTGTGCCTTCGTTTTGTCTCTGTTTCCTTTGRGCCCAATCGCTGCTCAACTCTGCACATAGACATGTTGATCATTTAAGGAGTATTCATCTAAAGCTCCTAGTCCCCCCTTCAAGGATGGAAACAGCAAGATAGAAATAACTAAGGTATTTTTCAAGATCTTCAGGGACAATGAATTGCTAGATTTTTATAATATCCTGTTTCCAGACCCCTGGAATAGAGCCTAGAAGTCTCCAGTCACTGCCTGACACCTCCYAGGAACAGCAGAGCCTTGTAGGCAGATCACCCCATCACCAGACTGCCCTGCACCCCTAAGCAGATCAGTCAGTGATCTCCCAGGATCCAAATCGCCCCCTCCCAGGATTACATGGCGGATAGATAAATATCCTGTGAGGCAAATGGAGATTCCCATTCAAGTGATAAGGACTTTTCTGGAACAAACTTGCAGAACCAGAACTGGGATAAAGATCAACCAGGAAGCAGTTTGACTAAAACTGTTTAATTATGCAAACTCCTCGTTCCCTGCCCCAATTCTTCCTCTGTGTGAAGCTAAGTCTCACGTCAGAAGCCCCAAGACAGGGCTGAGATGCTGAGCTACTTGCTTCCCACGGAGGCCAGGTTGATTCTCGTTCTTTTCCTGCTTTATTTTTTTTATTTAATATTTTTTTTAGTTGTCAATGGATCTTTATTTTATCTACATGTGGTGCTGAGGATCGAACCCAGTGCCTCACACGTACTAGGCAAGCGCTCTACCGCTGAGCCACCACCCCAGCCCCTGTTTTATTTTTTTACCTTCCACCAATACTTTTTTCATTTGTTTTCTTGGGGCACGTGTCTCGACCTCATTTATTGGGCACCCCCAGAGTCCGGCCTTTGGTGGAGGACTCTGGTAACAGTGTTCCTTGGTGTGGTTACATGACACTTTTCAGGTATTYTCTTTATTGGTGGGCACATTTGGTCTGTTCCCAGGTTTTCACTGTGACAAATTCATAACGGACATTTCTTTACCCTCTTCTCTTCTGCTTCAGCGATAGATTCAAAAAGGAGAGCTGTTGACTGGGCACATTTTATTTCTTAATTAATTCATTTTTAAATTAATTAATTTATCTATTTATTTATTTATTTGCCGGGGATTGAATCCAGGACATTTCTACCACTGAGTTCCATCCCCTAGCCCTGCCCCCCCTTTTTAAAAAAATTTTGAGACAGGGTCTTGCTAAGTTTCTGAGGMCAGCCTTGAAACTTGTGGTTCTCCTGCCTCAGCCTCCCAGGTTGCTGGGATTACAGGCAAGTGCCACCACACCTGGCTGGGCACATTTTAAGTGTTGATGGATACAACCGAAATGCCTACTGTATTCCAGCAGATCTCAGTTTGTAGGGAAGAGGACTGTAGCATCCAACCCCCAAATACAAAAAGAAAAATGGTTGTTTTGACAATTGGTAGGGGAGGGACAGAGAGGGTATGCCACGTCTTTATTTTAAAAGGAAAGATCCTACCCTCAAAGAAGCCATTATTGGGTTTTTGTCTGATATTTTTCCCTCTGTCTTACAGAGCAAAGAATGCCACAGTCAGCAAACTGGCTCCCGATTCACCAGCTGTCAGGCTTGCTCTGTCCTCAGGCCAGAACACCAGCATCCCAGCTGGCTGGCTTGCCAATGCTGCCCCAGGTTGAATCAGGAAAAGTGGTGCTGGCAGTTTAGTTTCAAAGAATTTCTTTTCATAGAAAAACCCTTAAGGATCCATTTCCACTAAGATGAAACACCTCTCTGACTGTGTCATCCCTAAAGGACATAAATTGCAAGTTGAAGAGACGCACTCTGGGCTCCTGCCTCTGCTTTTGCAAAGCCTTCCCTGAGGCAGTGAGGAACACACAGTCCAGAGCAAACAGAGGCCCGGCATTTACTTAACCTCCTAGTCCCTCTGTTTTCTYATCGAGAAGCAAGGCTCATCATGCCTAATGCCTGCAGTTATCCCTGTAAAGAACGCAGGACAGGGGTGAGTACACGTTTTTCACCATCACAGGGGTGCTGTTTATCAGAGTCACAGCAAACTCCCTGGCGGGATGAGCAAGCTGTTCTCATACGTAAAAAATCCTCTGTTCAAAGAGAATTGAGAATTATTCCTCTTGGGGCTTTTCTGTCCCAATTTCCCAAATATACGCCTCTAACTGTAGGGAAAAGAATACATTGTATTACTAAGATAAACTTGATTTAGGCACAAAGGGAAGAAAGAACCAAACACCTATTGACCTTCTAGATGTGACCAGCACTTTCCCAGGCACCGCAGAGGTAACAGCTCATGCGTTCTCACCATCTTATGAAGTACATAGTATTTAGTCCCAATTTACACGTTAGGAAACCAGCAATGGCTGTGGCCAGGGAACTTGGTCAAAGTTAAATGGCTAGTAAGTSGTGGAACTGGAATTTCCAGAAGGTCTGTGTTCCAAATGCACCATCCCACAACCACCCAGTTCCCTCTGCACTGGTCGATGCTCATTCATCATTTCCTAAATTGCTGAGTCTGGCCTGAAACTTGTGATCCTCCYGCCTCAGCCRCCTGAGTTGCTGGAATCACAGGCGTGTACCACCGTGCAGGCTTGTCAGATGTTTTCTTGAAGTGAAGTAAGTTTATCACTTTCAGGAAAAACAAAAAAACTTAGAATAGTTTCCAGTGACAAAATTTTGTKTTTTCAAAGGTAAAACTAGGACTTTGGAAAACTATTACCTACCACGGGGAACTATGGATAACAACTTCCTAAACACATGCTTTTTCTGATGAGATTCGCATTGATACTATCAAATATGATTTTTAAATAACATCAACGCTTGAAAGATCCACACAGCTCAGGAAACTAATATTTTCCAAATGGCCTCTGCAGTGTGACAAAATGATGAAAAGGTAAAAGATTTACTCAGAGCGCAAAATGAGCCAGTGGATTTTAATGCCACAATACAACTCTTTAAGAGATTTGATGTAGGATCAAAGGCACAACCTCTGTGATCTGACTTCTCCTTGTAACATTTCTGACACTAGAAGTATTGGATTTTCCCCACCACACCAAGCAAGTCTCCAGTCCTCTTCAGGTACCGACTGGGTGTCTGACAATCTAACTGAGTTCTGATGCTAAGTCATGCAGACCTTCAGGTTAGGGACTCAGGCCCGTAAGACTGCCCCCTCATTGGATGCCAACCGAGTTGGGGGTCTCAAGTTACCCACACTTCTGCCTACCTTTGCTATAAATCAATAAATCAGAGATTCCCATGGCCCCTCCTTATGTTCAATAATTTACTATAATGGTTCACAGAAGCCAAGGAAACTACTACCTGTTTGTTATAAAGGATGTTACAAAGGATACCAATGACATTCTGATGAGGAGTACATGGAGTGGGGTCCAGAAGACCCACGCACAGGAGCTGTAGTGTCTGTGATCTTTGGGGTGTGCTGGATACTTCTGCCAACACAGAGGCTCTCTGAACCCCTTCATTTAGGTTTTATAAAGACTCTATTCCATAGGCATGATTGAGTAAGTCATTGGCTATTGGAGGCTAACTTCAGCCACAGTCCCTCTCCCCTACATGGAGGTCAGAGAATGGAGTTCCCTTGACAAGCAGCCCCATCCTGAAGCCACCCAGGAGTCACCAAGAGTCACCTGATTAGCAGAGACTCCCTTACGGTTAAAAGGGACTTGTTAACAATTAACAAAAGGTGCTCCTTTGTCACCTATTACTCAGGATATTAAAGTAATTTATAAGCTCTGTGCCAGGAACTGGTAATGTAGCTCAAATATGTATTTCCTGTTATGTTACAACATCACAACAGAATATCCACAGTTCACATCAAGAACTATTTAAATATTCCCTTCTTTTTTTAACTACAGATATATATGAGGCTGGATTTTTCTCCTTTAAATAAAACAACAGAGCTAGGGGTGTAGCTTCAATGGTGGAGCTTTTGCCTAGCAAGCAATAGGCCCCAAGTTTGATCCTCAGCATCACACACACACACACACACACACACACACACACACAGATGCACACACACACACATACACATAGACACATACACAGACACACAAAGTAAAAGAGCAATATAACCAACAGAGTGAAGGCAGTCAGATGTATGAATCTGTCTTTATCAGTTTAGACATGAAACATATTTGCAAAAACATAAAACATGCCATTCTTTTCACCAAATTTTTGTTTCAGAAAACAGAGTTACTTTTCATTAAAAAATTAACTATGTTAACATGCAACAAGTTTTGCAATTTTGGAATCAATAAACAGACTTTGGATTTGTTTGAATTTCTAATAGGGTGAATATTGATGGAACTAATTGGTGTYCTGAAGGTAAACTGGCTCTCTGAAAAAAACAAACAAGCAAAGGGAAACACCCTGATATGTATACAGCAGTAGCCAATTCCGTGGTGTAAACATCCCCACCATGACAACTGGTTCACATGCCCTGACAGGACATGGCTCCAGCACCATTCAATTTAATCCACATTAGGAAAGAAAAAAAAGCGCCCTCTGAGTCAGGTGCAGCGGCACATACCCACAATCCCAGTGACTCAGGAGGCAGGAGGATTGCAAGTTCCAGACCAGCCTGGACAACTTTGAGAAATCCAGCCTCAAAATTTAAAAAAATAAAAGACTGGGGATGGGGCTTAGTGGTAGAGCAGCCCTGGGTTCAGTTCCCAATATGGGGCTGGGGGAAGCAGTTTCTAGGAGCTCTCCAGTCTTTTTACAAGACTGAAGAGGTCCTGAGACCCAAACGTTTGACAACCTCTGCTCTAGAGAAGGGGCTSCATCTGGTCACCGGGAGAAGCATATTATGCTGCCATAGCAACCGCAACTAGGTGCAAGTTGGGAGGATCAAGATGGAGTCGCTTGTCAAACCCTAATAAAAAGAAGTTGACGCCCCAAGATGGGCATCATCCTTGCCCACAGAAACTCTCCCACACATCTGCCCAAAACAAGAATATCACAAGAGACTGCCAGACACAACCTGGAGTTAGGGCCACTTCTGTGAGCACTTCTTTCCAGACACAGCCAGCTCTAACGCACCCTTGCAAGCACCCTCAACAATCCACAGGCCTGCAGTCCGCTTGCTTCTGGGAAGACCCTCTCAGCTGTGGCCAGGACATGTCACTCCCCACGATCGACCCCCATAACCAGCGAACTTCTGTTTCCAAACGACCTGCAGCACCTCCGTCTCCTTTTTGCCCAGTGCCCCAACCTCCCTGGATGTGCCTGATTGATCGCAGCATGCACATCACAGATTGAGTTTTGCATTCCATTATTATGCATGATTATAATGCACCAACAAAAAAATTACTGAACTCCTAAGAGGAAAAAAGAATTTAGCTTTTGGTGTAGTATCAAAGATAGCCCTTTCTGTTATTATTTGAGGTCAACAGCTACCTGCAACATGATTGAAACTTAAAAGCACTAACTAMATTGAAGAAAAGAGAACCTAGACTCAAATAAATACATAGCATGAGATTATATTTATATGAAACCAACAAACATGCAAAACTAAATGCTAGTTTAGCTTGATTTGATTTTTTTGGTGCTGGGGATGGAACCCAGAGCCTCCTGTATGCTAAGCACACACTTTACCACTGAGCTACACCCCAACCCCCAGCTTTACATTAGCATTTAGGAAGATAGAYTTTGGTGCTGGGCATACAGCAATAAACAGGGAAGCTATTGTCATAAAGCCAGGACGGTAGTTTTTTTKGGGGGGGCATGGGTTTGAGTGGCAGGAGGCGTGTGGAACACTGTGGGGTGTGGGCAATGTTTCCTTGACCTACTCAGTGGTTTTGTGAGAGTTTGCTTTTCCAGCATATGTATCTGTAGATTTATTTTTGCTGAAACTGTTCATGTTTAAGTCACATTTTACAATGAAAGGTTTTACAAGTGGAATTACACAGAATACATGATTCCCTGGAACTTTCATTAAAAAGATGGGACCCTGTCTTCCTCACACCAGCCATGCCCACACTGTGGCCCCTGACAGAGGCTTGCTCTGCTCAGTGACACATCTTCCTGGTCTTCAAATTTGGCATCAAGATGAAACCAGCAGTTTCTAGGAGTTCTCCTGCTTTTAGCCAAAGGAAGTTGGAAAACACTTTCTCCGAATCACTTACTGAAATCCAGTGTTTCCATTTATAGCAAGCAAGCCCACAGCAGCAGGGTTCTGCTTCTTCAACTTAACCAGCATTACAGGCATCTTCCTGCATCAGCCTTCTTAATAGCTGCAGAGAATTTAATCATATGGGTGGAGCACAGGTTATTGAACCAGCCCTCAGTCAATACACATCTAGGTGGGTCTTGACCTTTTTTGTCTAACAAACTGGCAAGAGAGTGGACTTTTTCCTGCTGAACTGAGCTCAGTTAGAGATGTATTCATGACTAGACCTGGGGGCTCGGGTGAGGTCTAGTCACTAATACACGGAAGCTGCAGCTCCACACCAAACATACAATGTGAAACGACTGTGGAGTGAGTGAATGAAGACTGAGGGAACCATGTTGTATCGGTTACAAACACAAATACAAGATTCTTCACAGAAACCCCTTGAGCAAAGCTGCAGACAGGTAGTGAATGGAATCCAGGGGTTTAAGCTTAATGTGGTGGCTGTGTGACTTCAGGTAACTGCTTTATCTCTCTCTGCTTCAGTGTTCTCACTTGGAAAATGGGTACAATAGTTGCACCTGCCTCAGAAACTGCTGAGAGAGAAGACATATCAATATCTCAGCCTGGGTCTAGCTCATTGATTGACACTCATTAAGAAGCAGAATTCAACTCACCCCATTGGAGAAATGTGGCAAGGCTGATGCCCATTTTGGGGTTTTAACACAGAAACCAGGTCTTTCCACTACTGTTTCTGTGGTGAGACTTGTTGGTTTGGTTTATTTTTATGGGGTCAATTTTGTGCCTGCAGAATCAGCTGTTCCCTGAAGGAGAGTATTTATACTTAGAGTCTGTCCCCATGGAGACAGTAAACAATAGAGAACCCAGATCCAGTCCTTTTCCCTGGAGGCTGAAAGTGAACTCTCAGAGTTGTTTTTTTTTTTTTTTTTAATTCCACTCAGGAGGGTGACTGGGAAGATAGTGTGGAAACTCTGTGATTCCTCTGCCTCCCCCTAAACCCATCAAATCCAAGGAGGCTGGGAGAGATCCTTACCATGGTATTTTTGGGGGTGGCTCCACAGTCCTTCTCTACTCCAAGCTGGCAGATTGAGAAACAGTATTCGACCAGAGTGCTCACTGGAAACTGGCTGGAAGAGAGGGGGAAGGTAAGGAGGGAGGGAGGGCAGGAAAGGCTCAGGAGGGATGGGGAGGGAGAGGTAGGAGGAATGTTCATTGTTATTTTCAAATCAAAGGCAGCAGGTGGTTGCAACTGAAGAAACTGTCAATAGGGTCTTTGTGCTCTCCATAAGGAATTTCATTCCAACAATCAACAAGGCCCCTTTACAGCTTGAAAACACCACAGCAGAGGTGCCAACATGGTTATRTCTCTCAATTGAGTGTTTCTAGGTGTCTGGATAGTCCCAATTTCCTCTGCACTTTTGTTGAAAGAAAGTCCACTCCTCCTGAATGTGGCCTCTTCCACGGCAGGCCTGGCCCACCCTGCAGGGACGTCCAAGGTTGGGTGSTCCTACTTTCCAGCACTTGAGCCACAATCTTGCCCTATAGGTCTATTTCAGTTTTTTACTTTCAAAACAGAACAAATGGGCTCTTGGTTATCCTTTGTGCTTTCAAGGCCACTGGGAAATAAATTGGAACTGAATATCTTCATTTATGGCCACCACATTTTAACTTTTTTTTTTCCCTAGAGGAAAAAAAGTTACTTACCTTTTTTTTTTCTTCCAGAGAAATCTAGACATTCTCAAATCTTCTTGGGAGATGGGCAAGGAAAAGAGGATGCATTAGTCTGCTTTTCCTTACTGTGACCTAACTATGGGTCAAGAGCAACCTTAGAGTAGGAAAAGTTTGTTTGGGCTCATGGCTTCAGAGGTTTAGTGTGGTCAGTTGACTCCACTGCTCTGGGCCTGAGGTGAGGCAGAACATCATGGAGGAAGAAAACTCATTAGAAGCAAAGGCAAAATATAATCCTCAAAATCATACCCCCAGTGACCTACTTCCTCCAGCCATGCCCCACCCAGTTACCACCCAGAAGTCCATTCATATTATTGATCCATCAAATGGATTAATCCATTGATCAAGTTACAGCTCTCATAATCTAACCATTTCACCTCTGAACAGTCTTAGGGGATACCTTGTATCCAAATCATAACAGAGGATAAGATAGAATTGGCAGCTTTGGTGCAAGGAAGTTTGACAGTGACATCTGAGTACCAGAAAGAGCTGTTTTCATGGAGAACATTAGCAGTCACCATCCCTCTAGCCAGACACAAGGACTGTGGCCATCATATTTCAATGGCACATGGCTTTCTTGGGAAAGCAAGTGTGTAAAAAGGCAAAGGCAAGAAGGACAGACTGAGCAATAAACTTAGGTATGTGTGGGGGATGCAGCACTCAGTGATAGTGTGGTCTGCTTTTACACCTAGGGGATATTAAATAGGAAGCAGAGTTGGGGTGATGTCAGGAAGATGGTGGACTAGGAGGACTCAAGGCCTCATTTCTCATGGAAACATTTTTTAAATTGGTCAAAATGTTATAGGAGCTCTTGAAAACAATCAAAGGTCTATAGCAACAAATTGATTACTGAATCAAGAAAAAGAGACATTCAAATGAAAAGAATTTCTGTGAGGTTTTTACTTGCCCTTTTCCTACCCCCTTCCCAGCATGGCATGGTGCAGTCTGTAGTCTCTGGGGTCTAGAACCCAGTTTACACTTCCTGCCCTCACATCTGAAGGAGGGGAGCAATGTTCTAACCTGCCTGGGAGATTGGCCTCTATGTCACTGAACTTGGATCCCAGATGGGGAAGAGTAGCCTCATTCACAGCCCAGGCTAGGAAAAGCCAGGGAAAGTAATGGCAGGCATAGCTAGAAAACTGCCAGGGGGCTACAAACCTGGATAAGCCTGGGGCAAGAGATTGTGGGTAGAGTAGATCACACAAGGCCCCAAGAAGAAGCAGGGAAGGGTGAGACTCTTTGGGAAATTAAAACATCTAAAAGGAGAAACGTATTTGGGGGATCTGAAAAGTATGTACAGACCCCTGCAAGTTGTGTGCCAATAAAAGGCCTGAGGATACTTGCCGGGTTTCTGTTTGCGACTAAAAGGCTCAGGGGTCACTCCAGTTAAACTGGGCTAACTGGGCAGCACGAAATAACCACGAAGAGACACAAATACCTTTGTCTTTGGGGTCGYTGTGATGGCTTCTCTGACCTTAAGGGTCCCCAGAAAGAGAGAGAGAGCGAGAGCACGCGCTGACCCCCTTTATTGAAGGAATCTATTCAAATGAGGCAAGGGGTCAGGTTTCAGGGGGCTGAGAATCTTCATGATGTCCACTGTCAGCAGGTTGACTGACACCTGGGTATGCCGCACCCAAGGGCACAGTAAGAGGAGGGGACACACACAAGGCACTTCCTTGGGAGATTCTAACCTAAACAGGGCAAGGGGTTATATTACAAAGGAACAGGTGACCATAGCTTCACCCATTAGGCTTTAGCAAGACACACCCATGCAHGAGAGACACTGACCACATTTCTGTGACTGAGTAACTCAGCACCCAGCCAGGAGTGTGACCCAGTCACATGTAAGGTTGGTCTCCCAGATACTTCCTTCATGAAGGGCTGACCTCAGTCTCAGAACATGACCTGCTAGTTGAAAAAGGTCTTCCCTTGCTCAGATCCAGGCTATGAAAATTGAGAGGGTTTGCAGTTTTTTCAAATGCTCAGTTTTTCAACTTTCACATTGAGTCACATTATAATCAAACAACAACAAACTGATAGACATACAAAGAAACAAGAAAACATGGCTCAGTTAAAGCAACAAAATACAGCATTAGAAATTCTGAAGAGGGCTGGGGATGTGGCTCAAGC